GTCCAAATGGATGAAACCTTTTCTTCATCATCATCATTATCATTGTCGTCGTCGTCGTCGTTATTTTCATCGTCTTGTCTTTTCACACCACTGGACGCATAAGGCATCCCCAGTGTAAGCTTTCATAATTTTCCATGCGTCCCACACAACTAACTCCCTTACTCCCTTGAGATGGCTTAGAGAAAGCAACGTGAACGAAAGTAATTTATTTTCAGTAGTGTATTTTCAGTAATGTATTTTCAGTAGTGTAATTTTCAATAGTGTATTTTTGTTCTTTACATTTACCTTAACATGGTGGTAACCAGCTCGAAAGCCAATGGCTATTCTGGTTACGACGCAAATCTTTGTTTTGTGTTCTCCATAGCCATAAGCAACATTTCTTTCTCTTCCCATATTTATGTTATTATACTGATGTAAATTTTAAAATTCTTTAAATAGTGCACAATAAAAAATTGATTGACTGATTGATCTTGGATCCGCCATTTTGGACTATACTTCTCGGAAGGTCACAAAATAAAGTGAACAGATGAAAAATTAACCAAACAGATACTAGATTGGAAAAAGTTGCTAATTCTGAAATTTTGCTCAAGAAAAGTAATAGGGGAGGAAGAATTCTGTCACAAAAAGTGGAAATTCGGTATAACCTACATGCCAAAATGGTACTCCCATGGCAATTTCAAATTAATGTCGTGGAGATACCGAGCTGACACTTCTGCAAGGGATGAATTGATACTAAAAGCTCAAACATCATACTAAATCTTGTTTACAAAATTCCGAAAAAAAACTCTAAAAGGGGATGGCCTCAACCCCTCTAGTACCTCCAATGGTTAACTTTCTAATGCGAAACTGCAAAGAAATAAACTAAACTAAACTAATGTGCAAATAACAATCAATGATTTATGCATATTATTTTACGTACAGCCCAATATCCGGTTTCCTAAATCTAAATTTGAACAAGAAGACCATTTTGCGACGATACCTTTTTGCCAATCAGAGTTTATGTGTGAATCGCCAAGCTGTTGGCCAATCAGTGTACGCAATACTTCACAGTTTCCCAGAGTTCATCTTTGTCGTATCCATCGTCTTCGATAAACCATGGAAACGAGTTCTCTTTTTAAAGTGAAGGAGTCTCTTTTGCATGAGAATTCTTTTTCATAGGCGTTTCCAAGAGAATTATTAGTTGTTTCCCCAAGACAAAAGGTGGTTTAGGGTGATCACACGTAGGAGCAGAACTGAAATGTAACGAAAGAAAGAATCAGTTAAACGTGAATAAGAATTAGTTACTAAAACAAAACTTTTGCTATTTTTAGTGCCAGAGATTTATCTCATATCATTGGAGACTCCTTACTTCACGTTTGTTCGCGACACACTGAGTTACATCGTCCTCCTTGTTCTACACTATGCGCTGTGTCTTTCACCTACAACGGTTACGTTCAACGGATTGGAATGGTTTATACTCATTTTCTTCACTGGTCGCTATCTGGTAGAACGCAAACAGATTGGTGATGTTTTTCAACACCTAAAGACACAGAGAGAAGGCGGAGCTCAATCAAAATGCATTCATTTAAAAGCTCTCTTGATGTATCAAAGGTAGATTGGAACAGATGAGAGTGAAATGACTACTCAATGACAGTATCTTTTCTTCAGATTAAGATCATGACTGTTTTCTTTGTAACCTGTTTGATATAATATATCAAACACGAAAGACCGTGTTTGACCACATTTCCAAACACCGAGAGGAGAGTTGAAAATACGACGCGCAGCGGAGTATTTTCGACGAACTTTGTTTTTTTTTTTGCAAATTTGGTCAAACACTGTCTTGATTGTTTGATATATCTTCTCAATCGAAACTGAAACTAAGGAGAAAACGGAGAAATGAAATCGTAAAAATATCTGCTAATTAAAATCAGATATCCAAACACCGTCACGGTCATGATTTACTTTGTTTAAACGTGATGAATTATTAATGACTTTGAGGACGTTTGATCAAGATTTTTTCTTTCATTTTAGTGCCGACTTGTGGAACAGGTTAGACTTCATCAGTCTTCTTGTTTACTTGGTAATCTTGATACTCAGAGTAGCTACGTTTATCACATCTGGATCAGCGATGAACAACCGAGTTCTTGCTATTGCTGGCTACCTCTACAGCGCTAACACCTTGTTCCTCACGTTTAGAGTGTTTGGCCACGTACTGGAACAATCCAAAGACGTTGGCACCATCCAGATTGCCTTGTTTAGTATTCTAAAGGATATAAGCGTAGTGATTTGGCAGTTTACGGCGGCTATCTTGGCTTTCTCCATTGCTATAACAAAAGTCTACATGGTCGAGAAATCGTTCGTAGCAAATGGAAGTGATGATATGTAAGTTTACAGTCGTTTGATATATTAACTACTTCAGTCAGACTTATGACCCTCACACTTGTGGTGGGCCCCGAAAAATTGGGTTTGGGTGTTCGACCCGCTTCCCAAATTTATGGCCGAAATCTGCGATTTTCCCAGACAGAAAAGATAACGTGTTCTTAGCACCTAAAGATTAGTTCTGAATATGTCTTGGTTAATATTAATCATTTTTGAGACTTAGTTAGAGTTGAAAATGGATTTAAATAGGCCCTTTGCACGATCCGGTCACATGGTACGGAAATAATTATGCCTGGACGTAAGTTATACAGTGGGACTTTCAAAACAAAGGAACTCGTACCAGTCCAGCGCGACATTCCTTTGTTTTAAAAGTCACACTGTGTAACTTGCATCCCAGCATAATTAATTCCGTACCATGTGACCGGATCGTGCAGAGGGCCTATTGCACCCCAGCAATCGGTAACAAATTCTTTATACCTTAGTAAACAAGACTTGTTGATATCTCCTTTAATAGCTATATCGTGGCTTGTACTGGTTTATACTGGATTTTATGGCATTGAATAATACCTAGCGGCTTAATTTATCGCAGTGGTCACGTCTATTAATATAGCGTTTTTACTTTGTAGTGTTTGTAACAAATCTGGAATTTCATGGTAAGTATGCACCACGAACCATTTTAAGTCAGATGCTTCATTGTGGTCGACAGCTTGTTAAATTGCCTTTCTTATTTTTACACAATTCGGATGAAAATCGACAGTTGTTCGAAGAAAGCGAGAAATAACACTATACGAGGTTAGTGTGCAATGCAAGAACAGTATCGTTTAACCTAAAGCCGCCTCCAAAAAAGGAGTTCAGTGTAGAGCTGCGAAGTGCAGCAAGTCGAAGGTGGCCGCCAATAAGTTCAGTCTGAGCTTCTGAAAGCAGATTTCCTTAGCACCAAAATGTGTGCCTGTTTATGATGGGAGATTGAAATATTTGGGTCATCAAAATTTTCCCGTAGGAAAGGTGTAGTGGAGGATCGACTTTGCAAAATAACTACGTGTAAAATAAATAAATAAATAAATAAATAAATAATAATAATAATAATAATAACAATAAAAAACTAAGCATTGAAATACCCATTGAAATTACCCATTGCTATTGTTGTTATTATTATAGTTATTATTACTATTACTATTATTATTATTATTATTATTATTATTATTATCATACAACGCATAGGGGTAAGAAGACACAGGAATTGCCCATGGTATCCCTCAAAGACAGTTTATAATCTTATCAACTGTCCTGTGCGTTGTAGGTGATGTGACCTAGTGAATCTTGTGTACGCAACCGGTGTGTTTGTGTAACAACCCAGGGGATCTTCTTCCTCTTACGAGGGAGTTCCTCTTGTTAAGAGTGCTTCTATTTTGCAGTTGGTGGACGATGATTACTTTTCTGGGCTGGTCTCTGCTGGGAGCGTCAGAAGATTTTGATCCTATGACGTCCGCAGATTTCCCTTCACAAACCCTTGCTCGAATCCTCTACGCCGCTTTTCTCGTCATGGGAGTTATTCTTCTTGTCAATATGCTGATAGCTTTGCTATCCAACACGTATCAGCGAATAGAGGTACGAAAATACATGCAAAGAGTTATGAAAGCCTTCTTCAAATATTCCACTCGATATCTTACGGATAGCAACACCAAGGAGTTTACTTTAGGACGTTTAATTCCGTTCAGACCAAGCAGACATTTCGGCATAACCTTGGCTATTATATAAAACATTGTTTAGCGTCCACCTGGTGTTGCTACTTCCGGAGGGGGTGGGGGGTGACACTCTATGGTACGTTCAACTCTCGTTATGGCGAAGACCCGCCGGACCGTCATTTGGTGTTTGTTATAGCGAGAGTCCGCAATAGCGGGATGTGATGAAAAATGACCCACTGTTTGGTTGTAAAAGTGACACATAACGTATACTGCTAGAGTCTCAATGGGGGAGGGGGGGGGTCCCTTTGAGGAGCCGTTCTGACGGTTGACGTTTGAATTTTAGGTTGTTTGACGGTTGACGGTAATTTTTTCGGATTGATGTTTACAACATGAAATTAATGCGCATATTTGGCTGTAATATTTCATAAAAGGATACAATTTTGCCCATATTTGGATAACTCAATTAGTCATATAATTTTGCACCAAAAATTAGATCTTTGGTCTTCAACTATGTGTCTAATTAGTGTAATTACTCTGCATAACTTGACCCCATTTAAGTCAGTCGTTTAGTTTTTAATAATAATAATAATAATAATAATAATAAGTTTACTGAGGATATCTGAAACGTATTTGACGGCTAATATTGGCTTGCTCATCTGACGGTTGACGGTAAAAACATTGCGTTTTTGACGGTTCACGGTTAATATTTTAGTCATTTGACGGTTGATGGTTAACCTCATTGAGGACCCCGTGCTATACTCTTTCAAGCTTTCCAGTTTCTTTTAATACACATTTACTTTGACACATAATCATGTAATGTAGGTCAAAATAGTGTAACAACTAGTAAAAATTCCAACACTACAGAATAATTATGTCATTCAACAAGAGAAAATGATTAATACGTCCAAGTTGTTCATTGTAACGACACAAGAAAAAGAAAAATATAAGGATGGGACCACATGAGGTGTCCGCTTTTTCACAATAGCGGGAGTCCGTGACTGAAAGTTCCTGTCCTTTTTATTGTAGTTTCGGCCAGGTATTTAGCCTGTTTTGTAGGCGTGGCTTGAAATTTTTTTCACCCCAAGAGGTACCAATTCTAAAACAAAATTATCTCCTGTCATATTCTTTCGGCTCAATACCCTAAAAGGTACTGCAAAAGCTTCCACTGTGGACCTTTTGAGGCTAAACACCCCAAGAGGTACCAAAACTGCTCTTTTTAAACCCTAAAAGGTACGACGAGTACCCCCCGTCCTTTCTATATGGGAGTCCTCCACCCCCCTCACCCTGGCTGGGATTTTGTTTTTCTATCGCGAATATATACAATTTGTTGGGGCGTGTTTTCACTTTTCAGTTGGCCTAATATATTTGGTCATAATATTCTCTCAATCGAGGTTCCCTACTTAGATTGCACGTTTTGTAAACATTTTACTCGTTTGTATGTTTGGTTCTTTCAAGGAAAATTCGTTAAAGGAGTGGTCGTATAAATCTGCGATTACAATTGAGACATACGATGGCTACGATCCAATACCCGTTCCTTTAAATATCATCTACAGCCTCGCCAAACTACTCAGGTCTGCGAAAAAGAAAGAAAAGACAAAGGTATAGTACTACTAAACACATATAGAACTAGAGAGTCCCTGGGTAAAAATAACGAACTTAATTAATAGCTTGAGGATACCTTGATGTTCAC